GCGGCACAACCAATGGCGAGACGGGCATCAGTTTCTTTTTAGTGGCACTGCTTTGGCATCCGTTCACATCTGTTTGATGAGGCATTTGGTCCGACTCTCGCAACAATTGGCGTCTCATAAGAGGCTCTCCATCGCCGTCGATGTTCTCATAAGTGTGCGAATCAATCATTTTCAGCTGTTGCTCAAAAAGAGTGGCCACAGCTTTATAGCACAGCATATACTGCTCTAATGTCTGAACCATTGCTATCCTTTGCTTTCGCATCTCTTTTATAATTAAATACAAACTAAAATCTGTTTCAAAAACAAATTTATAAAAAATTAGTAAAATTTTAATTAATATATAAATAAATGCAAACCTTCTCTAAGTTTTCCGGTCCTGAGTAGAGCCCAAACGTAATCAATACTACATAGAGTACCGGTTCGGCCGCAGCCGGCGCTGCAGTGGATCAGTATTGGACGCGTTTCGGAAATCTGGACGTCACGCATGAGTCGCACCAATTCGAGTATAGGGTGGACAGAGTTGGGCACTCCGTGGTCGGGCCACGTCTGGTAGTGGAACTGACACACTGTCCGCTCTATTGAGTCCGCCTTTACTTTCAGAGTGCGGACCAAGAAGTCGGGGCACACCTGACGCCACTTCACTAACTCAACTGTCATTTCACAGCAAAACAAACAAATGGTTGCAATAATTGGTGGCGATAATCAAGTGTTGGTCGCAAACCTGTTATGTTTCCGTATTGTTGCGGTTCGTCGTTGTCTTGCGGCCAATAAGACTCGCACTTATACTTTCCGGACTCTCTCTCATTACAGGCCATAACAATGACCGTAATGTCTGTCTCCCATATCATGCGCCAGAAGTCGACCAAAGTGTTGGGCAGCGGTCCCTGACCTATGGGTTCATCACAATCGGGTCACACAAACGTATACAACAAATTGGTTCGCAAAATCATGTCTTACTCGCGATGTAAGCGCGCGGACATCCGGACGATCCCTTCACAATTAACCGTAAGTACATTAGTCTAGGCCCTTGAGGACCTATAAGAAGCTCATACTGAGCCGACACTAGTAGACGCCACGCTTAGTTAGTTAGTTAAATTACCAAGTAAGTTACCAAGTATATAAGTTTGAGTCATTACACGGAAGAATGTCTTTGTATCGGTTTTTGCGTCGATTCACATCACACTCGCCCTCAACTGATCCGCAGTTGGGATCAGTCTTAAGCGTTTCCGTCAACTCTTTGAGTGTTTGAAACTCTTTGCGATACAAATCGTTGGACTCATCGCTGGTCTCGTCGTTGAGTCGATGTCTGGTCTCAAGTGTCTCGAAATGGTTGAGAAAATTACGTAAAACCGATTTGAGAGCAACCGATTTGACCATAACTCCAGTGTCTTGGGATCCGTTGGCCGGTGATCATCAACTCGTGTCCCCACAAATCGGTTCGCAAAACAATTCAAAACATAACAAAACAAATGTAAACAAAAAGTAATTGTTTTGCGAATCGATTGAAATGTGAAAACAAAACCATTTATTCATTCATTCATTCAATCGGTTCTCCATTTATGACATTCCAGTCATTCCTCACAACAACACACCTCTACTCACAACTCATTCACATATTAAGTGACCATTTCTTGTCAACAACTACTGCCCCCACAATCGAAAGGCAAACATGTTTTGCGATTACAGTTTTGTTGTGTTTTTCGATGCAATCGTTGTGTCAACAAAACAATGAGTTTATGATTGCATTCATTATTTACAAGTTTTTGTGTGTTTTAGTTAACAGTTTATAAACTAATACATCGATCAGTGATTGTACTGTCAATCAGAGCCACAATGAATCCATTGACGTAAGTATTGAGTCAATTGATTGATTATGTGATACATTAACGCATAAATTTGGTGTCAATTTAATTGTGATTTGAATAGAAATGTGAAAAACATAACAAAACTGAACGAAAGAGAGCTCTCGATGGGAGTGGAGGCGAAGAACTCGTGGCATAACATGTATTCCTCGTCGGCCTGGATCTTCATCGGCGGTCTCAACTTCGAGCTGAGCGAAGGCGATGTGATTACTGTGTTCTCACAGTACGGAGAAGTGGTTAACATTAATCTGATTCGCGACCAAAAGAGCGGCAAATCAAAGGGTTTCGCATTCCTCTGCTATGAAGACCAGAGAAGCACTGTCTTAGCCGTCGACAACTTGAACGGCATTAAACTCGTCAATCGTATCATTCGTGTCGATCACGTCAGCGACTATAAGATACCCAAAGAGCACGAAGACATGGATGAGATGACCGCTCGGCTCCATAACGAAGGCTGCGCTCCGCAGGAGGAGGTGAGCGCTCCGAAGCCGTCCAACACTGACCACAAGTTTGAGATACAAATCAATATTAAAAACAATAAAAAGCATCGAAAGCGAAGGCATAGAAGTAGGAGTGAATCGAGCAGTTCTTCGTCTTCCCACTCGTCTTCTTCCGGATCTAATAG